ATGGATCAGTGTCGGGATGGGGATTTATGTGTATGTGGCCCCCTTATCCCTACTCTCAAATTGGAGCTCCTCAAGGACGTGGGCTGGGCCTTAGCCTGATCTCTGGTCCCTGGCACCCGACACAAGCCTGGCTTAGAGTGCATGGAAGCATATGCGCGACACATGACATGAATGGAAGCATACATTCCATGCTTCCATGGAGTGGGCAAGGAACAGAATTCCTGGATGTGGGAAGCACACAAGCAAAGCATGAGTGTGGAAAAGTGCAGTTCAGTCCATTGGGAGTGAGCTTTGGTGGAAACAGCGTACAAGCCGGGGAAGAGTGGATGGGGATGGATTTTCCATACCAGGCTCAGGAGTTGGGATTATTGTTAGAGGAACCCCTGCTTACTAGGCCTCCGTTTTAATAAAACATGACTAAAGTGACTCCATCTTGAAGTGAGCAGGTTAACGCTTATGGTCAGAAAATAGCCACATCCAAAGCTGACCACCAATTATAATTACAGAGTATTTATAGCCATGCAGAGCATCTCCCACTAAGCCTGCAGAATGTCCAGGTGTCCTAAAAATACAGCCCACTTTAATTAAGAATAATGTTAATGAGTGAGTTTAGGTTGAAGTGTTAATGGTCATGGATAGCACCAATATCCCTTACCTTTAGTGAGCACATCTGAACATTCCACGTTTAATTATAGCTCCTTATGGTTTCCTTCCTTCCTTCCTTCCTTCCTTCTTTTCTTCCTTCCTTCCTTCTCTCCCTCCCTCCCTCCTTCTCTCCCTCCCTCCTTCCTTCCTTCCTTCCTTTTTCTTTTTTCCTTTTCGATGGAGTCTTGTTCTGTTACCCAGGCTGGAGTGCAGTGGCACAATCTGGCTTCCGTGCTCCACCTCCTGAGCTCAGGTGATTCTCCTGTCTCAGCCTCCTGAGTAGCTGGGATTACAGGTGCATCACCACACCTAGTTAATTTTTTTTTTTTTTTACTAGAGGCAGGGTTTTGCCATGTTGGCCAGGCTGGTCTTGAACTCGTGACCTCAGGTGATCCATCTGCCTTGGCCTCCCTAAGTGCTGGGATTACAGGTGTGAACCACTGCATCCAGCCACT